GGCAAGGAAAAGGGAGGGTACCCTGAGGAGCCAAAGTGGAGGAAGGAGTTGCATGGCCAACAGGGCATGTCATGGCTGCCTCTAGGGCACAGTCCTGCTACAACAAGACACTAAGCAACCGCACTGCCAGTAGGGGATGCTCCTCATGTAAAAGCCTCTCACCCTCTCTGTACTGCAGAGGGCATTAGGTAGCAAGGCTGGCATGTCCCCTGCTGAAAAGGACTTGTTCTACAGAGGAGAATGGATCTTGTGGTTGAAGCAGTTCATTTACACCTTTACTGTAGACCAGGGCTCTCCGACTGGTGGCCTGTGGACTGCATCCAGCACAGGACAGGTTAAAGTGAGGCTCCCGAGCTCCTGCCTCTTCATTCCTCCTGCTGCTACGGTGATGCCTGGCGTCTCTGGGGCAGGGCAGTACAGCAGAAGGGAGCCTGGTAAGCTTGCTGCCTGCACAGTGGGGCAGGCTGGTGTGGGAACCCTAGCTGCTGGGAAGTTGGAAAGCCCTACAAGGGCCCCAAAACCTCATGGACTTGGGCATCACCCCCAATACGCAAACAACAGCTCTGACTGGCTACATGGTGTCTAATGTAGAACTGAAATGCCCCTTCAGAGGAGCGCAGATCCCTCCTAGCACTGATGGATGGAAGTAAATCAAAAGAAGGCCATGCTAATTAAACACCAAGCCCCAGGGTGTTCCAGTCCATAGGTGAACTAGACTATTCAGTATCTGAAGTGATAGAAGACTACTAGCAAATCAACTGACTTGACACGTGTACGAGAGAGCTTCAGGATCACTATGGCCATACTTAACAGATCTAGGGAGAGTGTCTCAGGAGAGCTGCACTTGAGACAGCTTGGAATTGCCACACCAAACTATCTCCCTGTTGAGAAGCAAGGGGTGCTTGTGCTCAACATGGCAGCTCCACAGTTTTTAAACAAGAAAACTGACTTGCCTTATAGATAGCAAAGGCTGACTCAGAGCTAATTTACCCTATCTGGAAAATAATGTATAGTAAGTCAGCTATGTGTGGATCTATAGGAGCTGGTGGAGCATTAACATGCTTATTTTAAATTAAGAATATTGAGCCACTGGGAACTGTGCCCAGAACAAAGCCTTCCAGCAAATGGAGACATTTGTCTTCACTTTCTGTATGAAGCCCAAGCTCTTTTAATGACCAGAAGTGAATAAGGATCCCCAGGCTGCAGGCAGATGTGAAATATGCAGGTGAAAGCTGATCACACAGCTTTCAGAACAACTGTTAGGTGCACTGGTTAAAACACTTAATGCAAAAAGCAATGCAAAAAAGCCAACAGTATACTGGGTTGTATCAACAGGAGTGTCACTTGTAAATCAAGGGAAGTGATTCCTCTGCTCTATTCAGCACTGGTGGGGCCCCACCTGGAGTACAGTATCCAGTTTTGGGCCCCACACTTCAAGAAAAATGTGGACAGATTGGAAAGAGTCCAGCTCAGAGACAAAAAATTATTAGAAGCCTAGGAAGCATGACTTCTGAGGAAAGGCTTAAAGAACTAGGGTTATTTAGACTGGAGAAGAGAAGACTGGAGGAGAGACTGATAACAGTCTACAAGTACCTGAAGGGGGAAGATAGGCTTTTCTCTGTGGCCACAGGCGAAAGAACTAGGAGCAACAGCCTCAAGCTGTAGCAGGGGAAAATTAAATTGAAGATTAGGAGGAACTTTCTGATTCTGAGGGTGGTCAAGCACTGGAACAGGCTACCTAGAGAAGTCGTGGCATCTCCATCCTTGAAAATTTTCACAAGCAGGTTGGACAGACACTTAGCTGGGATAATCCAGTTATGAACGATCCTGCCTTGAACAGGGGGATGGACCAGATTACCTTGTGAGGTCCCTTCCAGCCCTTCTTTCCTACGATCTTAAAGAACATATGGGATCATTCAGGCTTTTCAGGACACATGAAGCCTGGCATACAACTTCTCTGCTGTCAACTGGGTTCCCTGAATTGATCTGACTCAGTTATCCCAGCTCCTTGCCATCTGTGAAGTAGTAAAGCTGCTGATCTTGTGCCTACTCCTGCCTCTGTCTAGCTCTTACCTAGCACCTCCAGCGACCCTTGGTGTTGAGAATCCAGCATCCCTATGTACTGCTCCGCCAGGCTTTGGGACAGGCTGGCTGCCTCCGAAACAGAGAAAGGCACGGTAGTCTGCCCGTATGGGTCCAACGTCAGTCTCAGCAGGGAGGAGTCCCTGGGCCCTGGGAAGGTCTTGGCAACAATCAGGGCAAAGGCAGTGAAAATCAGTGGCACTAGGAACTGGGCTGCCACCATCTTCCAGTTGCGCCAGCTGTAGACTGCTCGCTTCATGAACATGGCATAGAACTGCTGGCAGCACAGGTAGAACTGGGACCACAGAGAAGAAGGAGACATTAACTGGACACTATGGAGACAAAAGAATGTCCCTGACACATTGAAATCATTTTGAAATCCACCCCCACCCCTTCCAATTATCCACTTCTTTCTTCATGTCAGAAGGAAACTCAACTCTTTGAGGGTATTCCCTGTTCCCTGCCCCCATATGGATGGAGACAGGAGCTCCCCTAAGCAAGGCTTCTAGCAATGCCCGTAAGTGCATTATCAGAGGTGACCCTCCACTGAGCAGAGGGCCACAGTCACCTTGAGATCTCATCCATTGTAAGGAAAGCTGGAAGCAACTCCCAGATGTGACCCTCCTCTTATGCCTCCCTGTACAAGCCTCTGTGATCTATGAATTGGATGGCGACATCATGCTCACAACACCAAGAAACAGCTCAGTGACCCAAGACGTCCCTTCCAATCCTATGGACTATGGAACCACCATCTACCACCCCACCACATATCTACCCATCCCTCTCCACACCTTTGTGGCTTTATGAAACATCCACACGAACAGCAAGAAGGCAGTTTATGGTAGGCACACAAGGAAGCGGACTGTACTCCTTGTGCTGTCACAGACGCACAAACTTAACTGAACAAGGAGAGAAAGATGGTTTTTCTCTCATCTCCTTCAGTGCTGGAAATCACAAGAACAATTTGTGGTAATAGCAGGTAAATATATTAGATACTCTGGTTGCGTCCAGACAAGCGTGGCCATGCAGTATGTAGAACATGTTCAGTTGTTCTCTGCACTGCAATGGAGAAGTTCAGAGGACTTTTTTGACCCCAAAACCCACGGAGAAAAAAGGTGGAGCAGTGTATGCACAGGCAATGTTCAACACTCAAAAGCAGAGCCAGGCCACCCAGAGCCGTACCGCAGCTGCCAGGCTCTGCACAGCAGAATTGGAACAAGACTACCCTACCCCATTTGGGGTAACCTGCAACATGCCAGTGTGCACGTGGCACATGTCTTCCCCAGGGACAAGTTATGGTGGCACAAGGTACACCACTGCTAGTTGTCCCTGGGGAACCAAACGTCCAAGTACATCTGGATGTGGCCTTTGGGTTTAAGTGTTCCTTTAAACCTGAGGCAAAATTAAAAAGGCTGCCCTGACTTCTTCCTACATCTGACTGGAAAACGAAACCCTTTACATTAAGCCATATTTGGTGCTAACACTGGGCAGCATCAGATCAGTACTTTTCAAAAGGAAAGACTTTCTTATACTTCCAGGATAAGGCCTCAAAAAGCACAGGGAACTGGTGACTTTGTAAAGGTTCCTTCTGTTTCAGAACTGCCACTAGCACAACACCACTACACCACAACATCAAGCAACAGAAGCATTCAGGCAATGAAAATCCCTACAGCCAAGATGTCAGTCCCAGGGATCCAAAATCAGAGGCAGGGGAAATCCCATGTCACAGGAGAGGACTGGGAGTAAGGACTCTCAGGGCTCCTATACATATGTGCAGAACCTGCTCTGACATGCTGGAAATCCAGTGTCAGAGAAGACCCAATTAATCGAGTCTGCTGGAGCAAAGAAGAAATTGATGTACTCCAGCAGCCTTCCACATCATGTGTATCAGTGTCCCAGTGTGTCTCTGCACTGAAAAAATGGCAGTGGGGCATTCTGAAATAAAACAAGTTCAATGAGCTTTAGTTCAAAGCGACCCACCGTCATTTTTTCAGTGCAGGGATGTTGATACACCTGATGCATGGAAGCTTTTAATTAGTGCGGCTCACTAATTAAAGCACCCGGTGCTGTATCCTGCAACACACATAAAAATGTCCATAAGGTTTTAATCCTAACTCTGCTACTGTGTGACCACGGGAAGTCCCATCCCTCTGCAAGACAGGGTAATGATCCTGGCCTGCCTCAGAAGGAGAGCTTACTTTCCAAAATGCAGTGTTTTAAAAACCTGTCCTCTCAGCAGTCCAAGGCTCCTAGAGGCAGATTCAGGGCGTCTAAAAGGGAAGTCTTTTCTTATCCCCTTAATAAGCAAGTTAAGGCAGAGACCATGGTAGAATTGAGCCCAAGTTTGATTTCCTTTTGACTCCACCCACCGAAAACCACAGACCCTCCCCACCCTCTTCCTCTCCAGCTCCCTGCATTGACATTTCTCCTGAGTGCTCACCCCTGTGTTGAGTTTGATGCTAGAGCAGTCCTCTGTGATCAATGCTCCACTGTCATCTGTCATGTCAGTCATTCCACTCATGCTGCTGGAGTCATCCATGGCCCAGTCATTGGACCGTCTTTCATGTTGATACTGCAGGGCAGGGAGCTGGATGGCCTGGATATCCATGCTTGAGTCCACCAGCTTACCAACCCTGCAAGAGAAGGGAGGGAGGTTTGTAGAGCTCATCTGGGCAACCAAACACCATACTGTTTCAGTGAACAAGATGGACTCGGGGAATGGTGCGACTGACCTGTGCTCTGCATTGGCTTGAATCCCACCAGAATTGTATCCAGGGGCACAATCCAGATGCTAGCAAAATCCCACATTTATCCCTCTTTTAGCTGTTTATTCCTAATTTAGTCACTGGGGGCATTTATACACATATGCTTGTGTGCTCCGACACACAGGAATCAGAGCAGACTCAATTAATAGAGGCTATGGAGCACGTGAACTGATGCATTTGTGTCGCATGCAGGTCCCTGCCGGCTTGTGCCACCCCAAGTGGCCTTAGACAGCCCCCCACACTTACCCCATCCCCAGCAGCCCCTGGCCTCCTGGCAGTGGCAGGAGCCTCCAGAGTGCAAACGTGGCCATAGGCCCAAGGCACCTGGCCCCAGGCCAGGATGCCAGGGAGGTGGGCACCTGCCCAGGAGGCCTGGGGCCCCAATCCTTTCACCCAGATGGGCAAGCGCGGGATGCCCAGGGTCAGGAGTACCTGAGAAAGACCTCCTCCATGGTGGTGACCGAGGCACCATAGCTAGCAATTCCCAGCTCCTGCCGCTTCTGCTCCAGCTCAGTGAAGAGCATCTCAAACCTGCAAAGAGACAGGGTGGTTAGAAGTTACATCCTGGCCCCTTCTTGGCTCAGGCATTACAGACACTTAAAGCCTGCTCTCCAGAGTCACAGAGCAGATGCTGGGCAGCAGGGAGCTTGACTTGCTTATTCAGACACCAGGGAGAGGCTTCCTTCCACTTGCCTTCAGTGTTTAATAGTCCACTAGAAAGTGATGGGAAAAAGAGGGCTCCACCTGCTTTTGGACCCCAACTGCAGAGACAGGGGAGGAACTAGTGAGCTCTGGGGATACAGGCACTGAACTGGGAATGCAAGGCAAGCACTCTACCTTCTGCACCATGGGCAGGAGACAGAGCAGAGAAGCAGGTCACCAGCTGGCATCACCCCAGACACCTAGCCCTGGGGCTGCAGGCAGACAGGGCATGTGTGGGAATTCAGTCAAAGTGCTAAAAATCAAAATGCAGCACAGATGCTGCCCAGGCTCTGACCACAAGGTGGCAGGAACAGAGGAGTCAGCTCCGCCTCCAACTGTGCCACTCCAGTGCAAGGCTTTGGCTTCAGATCAGCTTCTGGGTTCAGTTTTCACCCAGTGGCCTTGAAATGGAAGTTGTGTGTGCTGTGCCATACACTCCATGTCATCTCACTGCAGCTTTGCTAAACCCCTATGAGACTCTTGTTAGCTGCTTTCTAAAATAGCCATCAGTCTGAACTATTTCAATCACTGTGCAAAGACTGCACTGAAGTGACTCTACTGAGCTCTCCAATGGCTGCTTTAGCAATAACACACCCAGGAACTGGAGGGGAATTTCCCCAGGGTGAGGACACATCAGGGCCTTCGCTTTGCTACATTTCCAAGCCAAAGGCCAATGGTGCCTGCACTCATGGCACAGACTTCAGCAAAGATGATGCACAAGAAAAGGTTGAGAAAACAGCTCTGGCGCAACACACCTTTTCCTTCCCAGAGCCAGTCAGTCCTGTGGCCGGCTGAAACGTAGGGAATAACACCAGCCCTCCCATCCAGGAGCTCCACTGACCCATCCTCAGAGCATAGCCAAGGGGGTGAGGGTATTTAAACTTCTACTTCAGATCAAATCTAACAGTGATTCCCTCAGAATTGTCACCACTCAGCTCTCCAGGCTCATAATTCTGTGCACCACCCTTCAGACAGTACCTTTAAGCAGCCCTATGAGAGCCACCGAGCACAAACTACACACTCTGTCTGGACTCCTATGTGCATTATGTACTTCCATACCCTTCCCATTATCTGAAAGCCTCACAGAACAGGATGCATTTACCCCCACACTTTCCTGGGAGGTATGGTAGGGCCACTATCCCCAGCACACAGATGGGGAGCTGAGGCATGGAGAGAGGTTACATGACTTGCCTAGGATCACACAGGAAGTCTGTGGCAAAGCAGGGACCTGGATTCAGGTCTCCCATATCCTATGCTAGTCTCTAAAATCAGGGCCAACCCCCCTCCTGAGCCTTTCCAGATAACAAAAGCAACCCAATCCAGTGAGTACCCCAGTGTCTGACAGACCCCATACAGTAGGGGCAGCTGCCAGAAGCCCGAGCCCTGCAACTGAATGCTGTGCTAGGCTTGCCCCACACTGACCTGGTAAGGGCTGGGCAGACTGGCAAGGCCCATGCAGAGGTGTGCCCCCAGAAGTTGCCATTACCTATGCGTGCTCTCTTTGGGCAGGATGAAGGACAGCTCTGCCCCTGCATTGCTCTCCATCGTGGCGTTGGGCACATACTGGCAGATGAGGCGAGAAATCTCTCCCAGGTTACAATATGGCTCCTTCACCATCACCATGTGGTATCCTGCGCCTGGAAGAGCCCATTCACACAAGGCAGCCTGTCATAAACAACATCCTTTCCAGGGGCAGGCCTGGCCAGTCAGTGCTGAGACATAGGTGGGCTGAGTGGACAGGGAAAGGACACAACATGGGCCTGCAGAGCCTGAGCTGAGGTCGGTGCAGAAAGCACCCCCAGCCCTGTGGTGTCAAATACATCCACAGAGATTAATATTATCTCACTACGAGGAGTAGAAGCAGACAGTCTCAGGCTTGGCCCATATGACAAAGCTTTGCTGGTCAGCTAGAAGTGACTGTAGCCAGGACAACTAGTATGGACCCAGTGCTGCTGATAGAAGAGAGCTTCAGCTAACTTAGTTGCTGTTCAGGGAGGTGCTGTAACGATGGGCAAAAAAACCCTTCTGCTACCACACACTGGGTGCCCACTATGGAGTGCTGCTGACATAGTTCTGTGGGCATAGCTGTGGCAGGAAGAGCCCCGTTCCAGCTGTGTCATATTCATGTCAGAGGAAGGAGGTTCCAGGGTGTGTTGGGAGGGGGAACTGCAGCAGGCAGGGAGTAATTGAAGAGACACGAGCCTAACATGCTTTCTTGTGACCCCTTCATCCCCCGCCCTGTACCTCCCGATGTATCTGATAGCAGAAATTCTCCCCCAGAGTGCCAGGACCCTGCAACAAGCCTACAAGGCAGGCCAGAGGACTAGCCACCCTCTCCTTCTGCAGGACTCTGATCTGGCCACCCAGTCCAGGAAAGGGAGAGGCTCCCCCCACCCTGTGTGGGGTCCCCTCCCCCTTACCGTATTTGCGCTTGAGGAAGAGCGAGGACCCGCAGCACTGCAGCTCCCCCTTGGCCATGATGGCGATGCGGTCCCCCAGCAGGTCTGCTTCATCCATGAAGTGAGTGGTCAGCAGGATGGTGCGATTGCTCCTCTGCTGCTGAAGGAGGTCCCAGGTGGCCCTGCGAGAGGCAGGGTCCATGCCTGATGTCGGTTCATCCAGCATCACAACCTATGCATGGGGAAGACTGTCCCATTATGAGGAGCCATGAGAAATAGTGCTGGTAGGGCCAGTGCTTAAGCCAGCAGCCTGGTACACGTGTGGGCCAGTCGTATGAAGGAGACCAGCAGCTACAAATATGCCCTCTAACTCCAGGAACACTTGAGCCGCCTGGTCCCAACTTCAGAGATAATTTCAAAATGGCAGCCTGGCTTCCCCTTTCAGTTCTGGGGGCATCATATCTTCCTCACACCCTCTGTGTCCTGTCTTAGATCCCTGCTCTGCTACCTTGACTTGGGAGGGCAGAAAGTGGCTGCCTACAAGGTCAGCATCCAGCCTGCTCTGAGCCAACAGCTCCAGGGACAGTCACAGATTTTCGACCAGTGCCCAAAAATCAACTAAGGTTTGCCCTATCCTGTATTTCTGCCCACATAACTGTGCCAGCTAGGGTCATGAAAGGATCACAGCCCCAGCTGGCAGAACTAAGGCCTGGAGACAGCTACAGCGAGGTGTAGCAAAACCAGAAGAAAAAACCCTTCTGTTGCCATAACCCACATCTATACTAGGAGGCTCCACTGCCACAGGTCTACCAGAAGAACCATGGCACCATCAGCCCCATAATGCTGGGAACACCTCATGGCACAACATTTCCAAGCCCTCAGGGGTGCTTCTATCTGGGGACAGTGGCATCTCTGTCAGGTGTACTCCACCACTTGCTTTTTGGTGCCAGGGCACCTTGGTTTAAACCAAGCCTCCCAAATTAACCAGGAGCCACTTGCCTTGGAGTCCCCAGTGAGTGCAATGCCGATGGATAGCTTGCGTTTCATGCCCCCAGAGAGTGCCTTTGCCAGACAGAAGCGCTTGTCTTCCAGGTTCAAGATCCTTAGGATGCGGTCCATCTCCTCTGGGCACTTGGCCGGGGGGTAGCCTTTCAGCTGATAGACAAAGGGAGAAAAGGGTTAACAGCTAAGTGTAGTAAAACAGAACAGCGAGAGGGGGACCTGCCTGCTCCCTCCCAGCCCCAGTGAGAGACCTTACTCAATCAGCAACCCAGGCATAAGAAAAATCACTCCTCCCACCCTTTCTCAACCTGCTTCTGCATTTAACCTGAGAGAAAAGGAAGTGATTTATGTCCCAGCGCCTGCCAGTGGTCCTGGAAATCAGGATCCCTGCGACCTGGCCTGTTACTCAACATCTCTTGTGCTACCCCAGGAAGCAGCCTCATCATGATCTCCTTGGGGTTAGATTGCAGTGGGGGCTGCGTAGGTCCAGCCAAGGTGGAAACACTGTGCTGAGGTTACTAGAGCCTCTGCTTGCCTTGACCAATCCAACAGCCTCTGAACAAAGAAAGCTGGGGTGGGAGACAGCAGATTTGGTCAATCTGAATGACTGCAGCTCTCCAGCCACCCAGCACACATGGGCTTGTCTACACTGTATAGAAGGTGTGCCCCTAGCTCATTGCATGTACCTAACTCAGGGTAAAACAGCAATAAAGACCCAGCAAGGTGACTTGAGTGAAAAGCCTACAGAGGCACCAGAGGTTGAACTTAGGCTGCTAAACCAAGTTAAAAACCCACACTGCCCTGCCATCACTGCTACTTTAACCCCAATTAGCTGCAGCCAGCCCAGGCTCTGGGTAGCTGCTGCCAGCCACAGAGCCCAGGGTGAATGCAGAAGGGTTTGCAGCCTCTGGCTGCCTGCTGCAAGCAGTCCAGTTCTATGGCCAGAGTCTGGGCCTCCTATGGCATGGCCTCGCGTGCCACGTTCTGGCGCGTAAGCTGGGGGTTGCCGACCCCTGCTCTAGACTGAAATAGGCCCCTCAACCAATGTATACATCCACACAGGGATGTCCACCCGCTGAACCAAACCAGCAGCAAGTGTGTGTGCAGATAGCCCCGGCCTGTACAGAAAAGGGGGCCTGGCCTGTTACTCATCTTAAAAGTATAAAATGTCAGTATTTGGTGTATGCAGAAGTCATATGATGATACACACTGGACAGCACAGGCTCCACCTGCTGGAAACTACAGCTACAGTTAGCCACTGATCCTCTAAGGTTTCTGCAGACACAAAGGAGTCTTCCCTCCCACTGAAGTCAGCCAGATAACATGACATAGGAGCTCACCCCAGAGTAGAAGTGGAGATGTTCTGCTACGGTCATGTTGTCAAAAAGAACGTCATGCTGGGGACACAGTCCCAGGCTCTTCCGGATCAGAACCATGTCCCGGGAGATCTCATAGCCATTGATGTATGCCTGGCCGTCTGTGGGAGGGTACAGACCTAGGAAGAGGAATGCACCAGGGGCTGCAGCTTAGGGACAAGCACAGACACATGAACACCCTGTGCTGTGGAGTGAAGTGGCGAGGTACCAGTGCCTCTCTCTCTCGAGCTCACCCAGGGGCCCTCAGCTCCCTGAGCTCCTAGGCTCCCCACAGCCTTCACCTGGGACCATAAACTTCACTGGGAGGATTCACCAGAAAATAAAAGTTACTAGGGCATCCTTTAGAGCCTGTCTCTCTCTACTATACCTAACACTAGTGAAGAGGTGACCTCCCCTTCCCCCACACAAGTCAAACTGAACTGTGTTCTCTGATTCCCCATGATCTGCCTAACCAGTGTGACAGCCAGACAAAGCAGGGATCTGACTGTGTGCCAGGCAGAAACGGTCACTACCCCACCCTCCCCACAGCCCAGGATCCCCTTTTAGGCCAACTGTGGTTAGTCCTGATTTGGCTGTGCAGGCAGGAAGCCCTGCTGCCAGGGGAGAGCTGATCACTCCAGAGACCAGTGGGGAAGTCACTCCTCCATTTCTCACAGTTAGCTGAGCAGGTTGCTCTTTCCTTCAGTATGTCAGGCACTGGGCCTACGGGACACAGGATACCCAACTGAATGGGCCAGTGGTGTGATCCCACCAGGCCAGTCCTCCATTCTGTGCACTGCTGGGATCCACACGAGGGCTATGTCTACCCAGGGCAATCAGGCACCCAGTAGGACAAGCCAGGGAGAGTCCCACATTCCCTGAGCTGGTGGGGTCAATGGGCTCAGCCCCAGGGCAGGGAGGGGTCATACATTCCTACAGAGCTCCCCTAACCGCACCCTCAGACAACAGCTTCCCCATGGCAGCAGTGGTATCTTGTTCTGCAGTCCTCAGATGCCGCTTTGGGGCTCAGCAAGAGCCAGGAGTGAGTTTCAGGAACTGCCCCCCTACCCCTAGCTCAAGCAATAGTTACAGCTTTGCTTCCTCCACAGTCACAGATATGTCCCCTATACAGGAGGCATCCCCCTGTTCCCCACTGTGCCTAGGCACCTAGTATTCTTCTCTTGGCAACACCATACACTGTCCAGCAGGACTCATACCTGTGAGCATGGAGAGGGTGGTTGTCTTCCCAGCACCATTGTGTCCCAGCAGGACTGTGATCTGCCCCTCATACATGTTCAGAGTCAAGTCCTTCACTGCCTCCTTGGTCTTGTTCCCTACCCTGAACACCTGCAGGCACAGCAAGATGGAAGCCACACGTCAGAAGGAAGGACCTGCCGCTCTCCCACATCTATCACCTCAAAAGATCCCAGAGCACTCATACCATTATATAAGATGCAGTGAAACATTTGACCAGATGAATTAAATACTGACTTTCAAGAGATAAAACATGGGCTTTGTTTGAAGCATAAAGGGATTATTTCCTCCCACTAGTAAGATGTCACCACCTTTGGGTCAGAAGCCAAAGGCTGAGACTCACTCACACCCACAGCCCTTGTAATTAGGATGTTCAGGCTAGCCTGTGTGTCATCACAGTGCTAGGCACTTGGTGACCTGGAACTCTGAAGAGCTCCCAGGTCAAGATCTGCCTGGGCCCTGTGCAGAGCAGGATGTGGTCTGTTAGACTGGGATGATTTATGAGCAGATGACTGCAGAGGCCCCACTAAAGGGCAGAGAGCAGCAGCATGGTATAAAGAATGTTTCTGGCCTAGGGACACTGGGAGAAGGCACTGGAAGACAAACATCAGTCTCAGGACACCACATGCCCAATGGGAGGCTGGTGTGTGTAGTGAACATGGCACAGTGACTAAGGACAGCTAAGATCCACAGTGGGACAAGCTGGACTGAATGGTGAAACAAGTGCTTTGCAGGCAAAATAGTTGCAGATATACTTCCTGCTTCAAGTTGTGGAGCAAAGCAGCTGCAGGGAACCTGATGCACCAGCACTACTGCTTCTGGTAGGATAAGGGGTAGGGTCTGAAGGACTGGGCAACCTGCTGATCTCTTTCAGGGATACTGATGCAAGGCTTCTGCACTCTGGGGTATTACAACAAACTTCTGTTGATCACTTGCCCTTGATTTTCTGTGGAGATCCCACAGGATCACAAAGAAGCTGTGGCTGGTGGGGAAGGCAAGCTCTGAGTCACACCTCCCATGGCAACTACCACTGGATACTATCCACCAAAACTGCCTGGCCTGTACCAGCATGAATCTTGATGCTAGGGAAGGATTTCTGCTGCCTGAACCAAACGGCTCTCAAGCTGGCCACCTGGTTGAGAGGAAGAAGCTTGGACACCTTACCTTGGAGAGGTGTTTGATTTTGATCCCCGATACCAAGTCAGCAGGTTCCTCCTCAATGTACTGGCTTTTCAAGGCCTTCTCCGGGTCCTCCTCTTCCTCCTTCTCCTTTCCCAGGACAGTTCTTGGATGCCCACACCAATATGAGGGCTGAGAGGAGAAACACAGAGATGGAATGGATGACCCCACTGCAGCACACAATGATCTTCCCTCCTCTCAGCTGGCTCTTGACCACAAAAAAAGGGACCTCAGGAGGTCACAATAGTCCAATCCCCTGCTCCAGGCAGAATCCTCCTTGTATAAGCCATCCTAGACAAATGTTTGTGTGACCTGCATTCCCTATCATCTACTTGCACTCAGATACCTTCAGACTGTAGAGAGACAGAGCAGCAGCAAAGAAACAGACACATCAGACAGACCCATTACACACCACTGAGGCAGGCTTCAGAAACAGCCCCCTTCAAATCAGCACTCTGTCCCAGGGCTGCTGGAAGCTGATGGTTCCCAGTGCCTCCCAACATCAAGGTGTCAGACAATTAATCCCAGCTCCTCACCCAGAAATGGAGTTCCCAGACTCTCTCAGGATCTCTAAGGGACCTACTGGAGAAGGCTATTAATAGGGGAGGGAACTGGTATCAAGAGAATTAGTTTACTCCTCCACCAAAGGACTCTGGTTCTTGATACCCTTTCTAGGCACTAGAAAGGAATTTCAGGGCATCCATCTAAGCTAACAGATCAATCCCTGGCTGAAAACTCTTACTCATACATACAGTTGCCTTCTGCTTAAAGTCAGAAATCTTCTCTGGGGGTGAGTGCATATTGTCATGGGTGTGGTCATTCCTACAGCACTCCTGACCAAGGAGAGGATGAATAGTCACTGTGAGAAACCTTAGCTACCCTAGGCACCGACCAGCCAACTCAACAGGGCCCAGGGAACGTACCCAGTGAGATATCACCTCCCCAGGGTGGATGCTTGGGGCAATGAGAGGCAGGAGGGATGTTTAAAGAGGTGGTGCCCACTTTTCAGTCAGTCGCAGCCCCTCCTCCCCCCTTCCCATAAATCACCTGTTCCAAATAAAAATGGCCCTGGGATCTCTACTCCAGAGCTCAGAGACTGAAATTATACCTCCAGCTACTAGACTGCTAGGGTGCAACAAGATGTAAGGAGAAAAACGAGGTATGAGGAAATAAGTAGATAAGCGCAGGCTCAGGCTTGTCCCTGCTTGGCCAATCCCCCACTCCGACTGCATGGCCCCTCTGCAAGGAGGTAAATACTATAATATATAAATTAGTTTTTGAAATTGGTTGTCACTCAATTCACAAAAGTAATGGAGGAATTGCGAGTGCACAGAGGGGTGCCTCGAGTTCAAAAAGGCCGAGAACCACTGCTCGACATTCAAGGGACCACCTGTACTCTCCAGAATTTAGGGATCACTCATGATGTTAAAACCCTGAGGAAGGAGCAGGCAAAGGCCACTCCCAGGTCCAGGTACCCAGGGGAGTCCTCTCCAGCCACACCACAGGGTCAACCCATTGCACATACAATGCACAGGTACCAGGAGCCACAGCCCCAAATAATCTCCTGATCTGAGAGTCTCAGAGCTCCTTACAACATTCTCTGGTGAGCAGAGCCCTGGCTCATGAGCCCCAGACAGAAAGGCAGGTGGTTCTGGACAGTACAAGCTGCACTACTGAGATAGGTGCTGAAATAAACTTAGACTGGGTTAGGGGCTTGGGCACAAAAAGAGCTTTCCAACCAAACAATTGATAGTGTGATGGCCTGTGTTAGCCACTCCATATATTGCCAACGTCACACAGACCATGGTTCTTAACAGGTTTCACTCCATCAGATCTTTGCTTGTCACTTCTTTCCAAGCCCCTGCACACAGGCACTTGGGGATGGGGCAATAACACTGGCAAGGCCATCCTATGCCAAAATTCCAGTCCAAGGAGTTAAAGTCAATGCCTGCAAAGAGCTTTCCACTTTCAACAGAAGTCTCATTAACTTACAAGGCAGCTCAGGACTTTGATTGCCAACTATGTGTCACTCACACCTACATTTTAAAAGCTGGAAGAGCCCATTGTTATAATTAAATCTGATATCTTGCCTAACACAGCAGAAAGATTTTTACCCTGCAGTTCCTAGTGACATCCTGCTGCAGTGGGTGCACAGGCTACAGGAGCAGTCACCGGCTTATCTCCAACATTGCCAGCTAGGCATCAATGCTCACCGTCAAGAAGAAGTACCATGGCTGTGGCACACCATACTCCCCTGGGAAGACAGCCTCCACATACCAGGCCACCAGGCCATAGAGGATGGAGTCCACAATCAACATCCCCAGCACCTGAGCCAGGGTGAAGTTGTCATCTATGCTGACGGGCTTCATGAGGTCCTTCCACTGAATGCCAGACCCTGAAATGCACCCAAGACTGTTAGTAAGAATGAGCACAAGTACAGCCTATACCCTATCCTCCAGATGCTGACAGTGAACCCAGTGGTGTGCATTCTTATTAATACTTAATGAGAGGCATGCATACATATACACACACAGTCAATGCAGTGTGGAGTTGTCATTGTTATGTGTGTGTGTGTGTGTGTGTGTGTGTGTGTGTGTGTGTGTGTGTGTGTGTGTGTGTGTGTGTGTGTATACGCACATGTACGTGCGTGTGTTTAAAATACCAGATATAATAAGTTTGACGCACATTTGCAATGTGCTCTACAATTTACTTTAAAAGACCTGTAAGAACATATGGGGGAAATCTCCAACTTACTGCAGGACCTCATTCTCATCAATCCTACAGGACAACAAGACTAGAACAAAGCTGGTCATTTCTTCAGGTCCACTCCCCAGTACTGTAGATTCTATGGGGCAGGGACTCTGTCTCTGCTGATTTGTAAAGCACCTGGCAATTTTAAAGGAAATATAATGGCCAGTTTTGATTACATTATTTAGTCTTCAAAATCTCCACCTGGGTCTCAAAACAAAGACATTGCTAAAACCATGCTGTTTTCACAGCTTGGACATACAAGTCTACACCAGTGTCATTTACTTCAGTTGATCCAGAGCAGACAGGCAAGTAACTATTTTGGGCATGCAGGAAGCTGAGTAGTGACAAGGCACAGCACTAAGTTATGGATAGAAGTAAGCAGAGTGTCTTGAGCAAACAAGTCCCCCAAGATAAGCTGAGGATATACAACAACTAAACCAGCATAACTTGCACTGGTATATTTCTATCCATGATTTATCACTGGGTAATCTACAACTGGATTCAAGTAAGTTACAGGTACATAAAGTTTCACGTCATGTATCTGCCCTGTTTACAACAGAATTCCCTAGTACAAGGACATTTCAGTAGCAGTGCAAATCCATCCAGTCTCAACCCCCACTATATTTGAGACACACAGCACCACACTAAGAACCCATTGGTCCTCCCGACACTCCTCATGCCCACAATGGCAGACTTCAGAAGGCTCATATCCCAGACACCACTTGTGGATCTACCCACCACTTCCATGTGCACCATTTTCTATTCAGGTTCTTAGAGGTCTCTATGACCACAATTACAAAGCAGCTCACATATCTGAGGAATCAGACCTTGTGGCGCCCTTCTGACCTAAAGCTGTCTATGTCCCCATTGAACAGATGAAGAACAGGAGGCACAGACAGATTAACTGATAGACAATGAATCCAGATCACCCGATTCCCTTGAGCCCAAAGCCACCCTCCTCTATGGCATTTTATAGAGCTGTTCTGACAAGAGAGTGAGCCTTTCACCACTAAGAAACCCTCTCTTTGTCTCCATCTTCTCCTAAGTGTCTGTTTGCAAAGATATTGTCCCTCCTGCATCCAAAGACATATTTCTAATTAGCATGGAAATTACATGCAGATGCCATTAACTTAATGAATTATGTCCCTTAAAGCAGTATTAACTTGGGTACCAACAGGAAAGCCGATGAAGAAGCATTGCTTTGTGGAGCCCAGATTTCCCTTAGAGATGGGGTGCTTCTAAAACCTGCGGCAATAGCTAGAATACGTGCATGGTTTAAGCAAGTCAAAACTCTCAAGATACTAAGCATATGCGAGAACAGTTCCCTCAAAAAGGAAGCCCCAAGAATGAGCTGTTCCCCTCTCATTGGCAATAATGCCAAAATGCCCACTGACTCACACTGTCCTTCCAGTGGCACAGGATTGAGTCACAAGGACCCAAGGAAAGCCAGAACCAAGGAAAGCTGGGCTGAAAACCATCAGACACAAAAACACTGAACATGCCAAGTGCAAAGTTCAGTTTGTGCCTCCAGTAGAGCTTCCTGACCTCTGCAACCTTGGCCAGGCCTGGATCCAATAGCAGCGCATAATGAGACAGCCACTCACCTTTGCCTTCAAACATGCCAATGAGCTGTGCCCCCATGGCCATGGCTACGTTGGAAATGAGGCAGGATGCTAGCTTCTGGCTGTGAGACATCAGGTCATAGCGGGGGGAGATGAAGAAGTAAGGGATGTAGGAGAAAAAATACAGAAATCCTCCGGCAGCAGCTGCAACATTAGCTGTACAGGCAGAGATGGGGGCAAAGGGGGCAGGATTTCAACAATACAGTGTGAAGACAAACTAATACAGACATGCTCAGCGGTGCTACAAAGCTTTCTGACCACAGAGGCCCTGGCCCTTGGCAAAGGCAGTTATTTCTCTATGATCTGCCAATGGGAAACAAGTGCAGAGGAGGTAAATGACTCACTGATGGGCAATCAGTGGGTCAGTAGAACAGAACCCAGATCTGCCATGCTCTAACCATTAAAACATACCATTTCCATTCAAGTCCCAGAGTGCTCCAAGCAGTTTGCAAGGTAAACTGTTTTCTGAATGCCAGCCCTGCAAATTCATCCTGGGATACAGGGGTGCCTTTACATGTGCTCCAGGGTGGAGGTGCTTTAAAGTGGCTCTTGGGAGCCACTCCAATTAAAACACCCACAGTGTCTCATGTATTCAAGTGTCCCATGCTTCAAAATGGTGGCAAGGGCACATTAACTAAATCTCATTTGATGACCTTTAGTTAAAGCCCCCCTGCCACTAATTTGAAGTGCAGGGATGCTTAATACACGTGACACCAAGGCTGCTGGAGCATGCTAATTAGTAGACTTGCTTAACCAGGCATCGGGCAAGCGTATAGGTGCCCAGAAATCTAGCCTGACTCCTTCCCCCTCACATGATGCCACTGGTGGTAAAGGTTCACTAGAGCAGTGCTTCTCAACCTTTTTTGTACCAGGATCCATTTGTAAACATCTATGGCCAGTCCTGACCCAGCGCCCCTCACTCCCTACCTGTTACTCCCACCCCCAGGCTCCAGCCCCTCAATGTGGAACTCTGCCAGCCTGCAAGGGAAAAGTCACGTTTTCCCACGTTTTTCTCCTTTAAAGGAGAATCCATCTTTAAAGTTTGTTTGCAACCATTTCATATATTCTTGCAACCCACTTTTGGGTCATGAACCACAGGTTGAGAAATGCTGTGCTAGAACAAATAATGTCCTTACGGCATTGTCTACACTGTTGCCATACTATGCCTGGAGCACTGCCAGGACACATGTCCTACCAACTTGCCTGAGTAAAATCAGTTGACAGGGGTGCACAAGGAGCAGATCTCCTCAGCAGGAAAGGTGCCATTTCCACAGTCTCTTCCTGAGGCAGCCTTGCTGAGGAACATCATGAAGGCTGAAGAGGAAAGACTCACCTCTGGAGAAGAAGGTGCTGACCATGAAGCTGAAGGAGATGGAGGAGATGGAGAAGAATGCCAGGAAGGTGAACACCAGGGTGGGGTCACTGTTGGTAAGCACTGCCCCTTGCTCACTGACCTGCAGATAAAATCCACGGCATCATCCTACGTGTTACATATGCAGTGCACACCAATGACACAGTGGAGTTAGTGTCTAAGACCTGCAGCTCCATGATGGTGGAGACAATGGTAGAGAAAGGATCTAAGGATAAAAGCAGAGCACCAGGGGCAATTTATAGGTCACACCTTTCCTACTGTAGACCATGGTTTACAGGGTGTTAAAATTGTGTCTTGGGAATAGAGGCCACCCAAGGACTCCAATGTGGTCATCCACTGGAATGGTCAGAGCTCCAGCCTCTTCTCCAGTATCCAGTATCCCATCCTGGAAAGGGGCCAGGACCAGCTGCCTCAGAGGAAGGGGCACGTCCCCTTCCCCACACCTCTGGTAGCCTCCCCATGAGGAAAGCTTCCTCCCAGATCCCAGGAATTGGAGGTTGCATGACACACTCCTGGTGTGTCAGGTCCTTTGATAACTGGATAGTCTCATTAACTATGCAAGTGTCCCAGCACCCTCCTGCATCCTGCTAAGCTTCTGGCTTTGTGGAACTCAATGCCATAGTTACTGTGGGGCTGTGTGTAAAAGCAAGGCCAGGAGTCTTCACAGAAAGCTCAAATGGTGAAACAAAGTATAGCTGAGGTCCAGACTAAAGCAGCAAACCACACTTCCATTATTCCCATGTTGGAAGAGGCCTCTAACATTCAATAGAGACTTCAAAACTTTTCTTCCCCACTGCCCACCCATCTCCCAACTCAGCTTGCCACACCATTCAGGGAGACACTCTCTAGATCAGAGGGAATAATGGGAAGCCTAATGGAGGAAGGAGAAGCAGCTCTTGAAAGATCCACCCTTCCCCCCATCTAAATCCACCTACTGATGCCCAACCATTGGCTCCCAAAGCCCCTGGAGCACCCTGGTTCTGATATAATCAGCAGAAATCCAAACTGGGATGCTCACCTTGATACAGAAGAGCAGGGTGACAAAGAAGATGGACACCAGGAGGAAGAGGAAGAACATGAGGAACCAGGCACTCCAGTGCAGCCAGTTGCTGAGGCCCATCATGCGCATGTACTCCTGTGGGGAGGACAAGGAAGATGAAGCATCACACTAAGCTGCACCTATTCCCTGGCCGGGAGGGTGCAATAGCTGCCTCACAACAGAAGCAAGGCAAGCCAGGGGAGCTCCCTACTAGGATCTCCCTTTGCAGGACTGAAGGAGAAAGCTTTAGCCCTTTGGTGCCCCACAGCATGTGCTGGAAACCAGCTAGCTTGACATGGCACAAGAGTAGCCATTGCTGACATAAAGCCCCATCCACAGCTCTTTCGCTTTTGAATCCAAGGTGGTCTCTGCCCATCAGTTCAAGGGAATGTCAGATTAAGCAAGAATGCTGAGAACAAGTTGGTTTTTTTCCCCTGAAGCACTAAACTGAGATCCAAACCCAAAGGTGAAGGCCAGAAGGGACCACTGAAACCATCTAATCTTAACTTCTTGCATAATAGGACAGTATTCTCAGCCAGATGGATTGAACCCTAGACTCTCACATTAAAAGTATGATGCTCTACCTGAGCTTATGAGGTACCAAACTGCTGACCTAAGTCTCTAAGTATGAAATAAAACTCATTGCACCTTGCCTTTCAGAAAACAAAGCTCCCTTCTCCCCAAAATCTCCTTAGCCAACTCCTTTTCATGCATCCTGGTCACCCACAAATGCGTTCCATCTATCCTGAAGCTGCATTCTAACCCATGAGAATTGCCTGCCTGCAGACCTAATAGCAATTGCTGAAGCAGATAAAGCTGCACAGCAAGGTGGCAGGGCTGGATTCCAGCTGCAAAATTAGCCACATTCTTCCACAGCATTTACTAGACCATCCTAACCTCCCCCTCTTCTGCCTTCTGGCTCCCAGCAAGAAGGGGATTTATTCCTAACTCAGCAGTTTAAAAAGAGGGTTATGTTTTAGAAGGCAGCCAGCAGATTAATGACATCTGGAATGGGTAAGCAAACCGCAGAATGCAGAGTTCAGTGTCTGACATCAAGCTGTTACAGATTATAGGATTTTTATTCCTTTAGAGTTGTTTTCCTGCAAAGGAGATTCCAACTGCTTGAAACAGAGCAATTATTTTCCCATTACCAGTTTCTCCTTTAGGGCTATTCTCTGATGTGCTTTCCCCTTGCTCAGTCTCCTACCCACTTTTGCTTTCCACCCCTCATCCCTAGTAGAGTGGAGTCTCTTCTTTCTCTCATTCTGCCAGACAGACTGCTCAGGCTTTCCTCTACCCTAGTATCCTGTGACAGCATCACTTCCCCTGTGTTCTTCACACCCATCAATAGATGGTACTTGATCACCTACAGATGTGAACAATTTCCTTTAGCATAAACAGACAGACAGGTGAAGAAACCAAGCTAGCCAACCCAGTAGAGTGACAGTGCTGTGCTCATCTTCACTCTGCACACCCCTACATGGGATATCTAGGTGACCAGTTCCACCTTGTGTAGACCAGTATCATTTGATCTACAGTGACTTGTGTTACTGGTACAGCAGTCTGCCAGCAAGACACCTTCCCTGACAAGCCTCCTCCATTACCTTCAGCTTCTTCTCCTTCTCATGCACAACGGCACGGACGATATTGAGTGAGGTGTAGGTGAAGCTCAGCATGAGCAGCAGGGGCAGCTGGTTCTGGATGGCGAGGAGAAAGAGGTCGTTGACATAAGGTGGGTAGGGGAAGCGCCGCACAACCACGGTGACCCTTTCCAGCAGACTGCTGCTGGAGGCGTTGGCATGGTACTGTATGATGGCTCTGTCCACAGCATGCTGCACTGCCAGAAACCCCTCCCGGAAGTACCCTGAGGGGAAAACACAAAGGCACCCAGGGGGACAGTGTGAGAGCACTGTAGGAGAAGAGCAGACAGTTCCAGCAGGTCAATGCTCCCCAGCTGCAGATGGGTATGAATTGTATGCCTGTCATCTATAGACACCATTCAGGGGAGGAGAGGGCAATGCTGTGCATGTGAGAAAAGGGTATGGCCTTTATGAAAGAGGCTCTGCAAGGGGGAAACAGCACAGCAGTAGCTCCAAGAAGATCTATACCCACATGGATTCATACAGTAACACTCTGGTTTTATTTGGACTATTCCTTGAAAATTCTCAGGACTTCACCCTGGCAGGACAAAGAAGCCTGTCAAGAGCCTTTTCCCAGGAGTCATGGTACAGCTTCAGTTGGCACAGGCTGCATTTGGGGTTTGCTGACGAAGGATACAGCAGCACTAAGATGAAGGGCTGGCACTCTAAAGCTGAGGCCAGTTCCTGGCTCTAACTTAAACTGCCTATGCAGCTTGCTCCCCAGGCCTCTGCTCCCCATCCAAAGAGTAGATATGATAAAGCTTCTGTTCCTATTTGTCTGTACAGACTATACACTCTCCAGGAAAAAAGCTACATCTTAAAAGCATATGCAATGATCAGCATCATGAGGCCTGGGTCTCAGCTGAGGCCTCAAGCATTTGAAGTAATGCAAATAAATAACAAGGGTAAAGTGAGTCATTAACCCACGTGTTTGTGGCAGTACTTGGCCTTCAAGGCTCTCTGCTATACTCTGGACACTAGACAATGGTGCCTCCTTTGTACAGAATCAGCTGCACAAGGACCTGTATCAGGGGCACTGATCCTTAATCATAATGCGCATTACTTAGTTTTAGAGCAGCTGATGAGATACAGAATAAGGTAGTAATCAATTTATATTCCATTGTGCAGCTTATTTAATCAAGCCTGTGCATTCACATCAAAAGGAAAATATTCAGCAGGACTCAAGTTATACAGCTTTAATCCAATCAAGGCTTTCTGGAGACACTGATCTCATGTCTCCTGTTCCCACAATTCCTTGATGGAATTCACTTCGTGTCACTCAAGGTTATTAATTTATTTGATATTTAACCTAGGAATTGCTCTACCAGGTCAGACCCAGAAGTCATCCAGGTCCGCATCCAGAAGGGGACAAATATTAAGGTGTAAAAATCCCAGTCATGGAGTGTTACGTAACAACTTGTCCATAGAGAACAGGTATGTCTAGCCCTGTCACAGTGATGACAGTATGCCCCAGAGCCTAAGGCTTTATTACTATTTGTGCAAAGTCAAACCTTTTAGAGCTCTTGGTCTCAGAATTTTTTCCCTTTTATTTACCTACTGCTTACATTACCTAAGTGAATCCTTGGGCCTCCCCCACAAGGTGAGGGCTCCACTGCCACTATGTACTCTGCTGACACAAGAAGAAATAGTGCCAGTCCTGATGACTCTGTGACCTAAGCACACAAGAGTGTAAGAAGATGGGAAGGGATAAACAAAGGCAAGATCAACTGAAGTAACTTGACCCAAATCACACAGTGGATCAGTGGCAGAGCCCGAAACAGAAGGCTGCGTGCAGGTCTGCAAAACAGCTGTTCAGTGCCCTATCAGTCTTCTGACATTCTGTTTCACAGGCTAATTACTCATCATTTGAGACATTCTTTCTCCTGTCTATTTTGCCTCTAGCATTTACCGCAGAATGGTGGCATCATCCTATTAACAGAAAGGGGCAACATGAGGCATGTGTGGAATTCTGTTTCTTCTTAGTTACCTTTTTAATCCATCTACACGGTATTTTGCTAATTATGGGCAGGTAGCCATTTTATTCCTTGATGTGTTACCCTGGCTGCATAGATGATTACAAGCATGTGTCTGTGGCACATGTGCCCCAAAAACAAACTGGAAAAGGATGGCCCTCCTGTGCTTTAGCCCAGTTAACAGTGACTAGGGACTTGCCCAGGAAGCTGAAGACCTCCAGGTGTCTCCTGACAGGGTTTAAACTACATCTACTGTGACTTCCTAGCATAGTGCTCTAACCACCACACCACAGGCCAGGCATTTGTCAGGCCTTTTTGCTGCCCTCTGCTGCCTTTTGAAGCTAAGCCTCTGCCCTTTGCATTTAATAAAGTAATTGGAAAAAATGGAGAGAAGGCCATGCAGAAGGGAAGTTTTTGTTCCACTAGAAACAAGGACCCAGACTAGAACCCAGAGGTGCAGCCACCTCACTGAGCCACACACCTTCTGGCTTGCTGCCTTCTTCCAGGTCACACATCTCCCGCTCATGGCTGCCCAGGGGCCAACCTCCAAAATAAGTGCTAGAGAAGGGCCTGGATAAGGGTTAACCTGTGGTGTGGTGGTTAAAGCACTAGGCTGGGAAGTTTCAGAAATACAGATTCAAAACCCCTCTCAGCAGTGGGAAGCTAGAACACAGGTCTCTAGCTTCCCTGGTAAATATCCAAGCTACTCAGTTGTTGGGGTTAAACCATGGTACATGTCCATGCAGTAGGCCATGTATGTAACCTCTGCATGCCTCATCTACATGCTCAGCATGCATTCTCACAAATGCCTCCATACTGCTGGGAAACAGAATGGCTGCCTGCATGCAAGTGCCAAAAATGATACAGATATGACCACAGGGAGGCAGAACGCCACCCTGTGATGTAAGCAGACAAGAGAAGATGGGTGTGTAGTTGAGTGAGGTGGCTGCTTCTCTGGTTTTAACCTAGGTTCCTGTTACTAGTGAGACAAAAACTTTTCCTCTGCATGGCCTTCTCTCCATCTTTTTTCCAATGACTTCATTAAATGGAAACGACAGAGGCTCAGCTTCAAAAGGGACATTATTTAACTGAAATAATCTGACCCAAATCAATGGCAGATCAGCACCCTATCGTTCTGCTACCAGGGTGCTGGTAGCAGCCTACAATTACATGAGGGGTACATCAGGACCTGGGAGAACAGCTGTTCACCAGAGCTCCCCAAGGGGTAACCAAGTCTAATGGCCATAAACTCCAGGAAGGCCAATTTAGATTAGACATAAGAAAAAAAAGTTATTTACAGTGAGTGTGTCTAGGCTCTGGGACAGACTCCCACCAGGGATGGTGCAAGCACCTACTCTGGACTCTTTCAAAAAGCATCTGGATACTGTTCTTGCTGGGATCAGCTGATCCCAGCTGACCTCCTGCCTATGGGGGAAGGTAGGGGGGCAGGGTACACGCTGGACTCAATCTCACAAGGTCCCTTCCAGCCCCTAATGTCTATGAAATCTATGAAATTCTTATAGCACTCCATTCCACAGGATAATTAGTCATCATTTTAGAAGTGTTGCTGCCCCTCTTCTTCTCACTTGCCTCTTTTTCCTTCAGATTTTTGGCACAGAAGAGGGAGGGATTATCCCATTAACAGAGAGGGACAATATGAAGTGCGTATGTAACGGTGTAAGTAGCAGACTGTAGCAAGCTAGAACACAAACTCCTTCACAAAAACCAAGGCAACTGACTTTATGCAGATTTTTCACCTTCAGGTCTTAAAAGTCTTTGAGGTCTTCAGAGTTTACTGCTGGTTAGCTACAGGACACTGGCCAGCAACATCAGAGACTCAGGTTCAATTTCCTGCTCTGTAACAGACATGCTGAGTGAAGAGGAGCAGGTCACTTGGCCTCTCAGGGCCTCAAGCACCCACCAGCTGCAGAAAAGATGGACATGAGCTGTCAATGAGCGGAACCGGTTAGTAAGGCTAACCACACCTTCTCGTGCATCTACAGATGCATCATAAGCAGGTCCAGGGAGGTGATCCTTTTCCTCTATGCGGCACTGGTCAGGCCACAGTTGGAGTACTGTGTCCAGTTCTGGGTGCCGCACTTCAAGAAGGATGTGGCTAGCATTGAGAGGGTCCAGAGGAGGGCCACTTGCATGGTCACAGGGCAGCAGACCAGGCCCTATGAAGACAGACTACAGGGTCTGAATCTATTCAGCCTCCACAAGAGAAAACTGAGAGGGGATCTGGTGCCCATCTATAAACTCACCAGCGCAGATCAGTAGAAAATAGATGAGGCTCTGTTCCCCCAGGTATCACCTGGGATAACAAGGAATAACGGCAACAAATTGAGTGAGAGCAGGTTCAGGCTTGATACCAGGAGGCATTACTTTATGGTTAGGGCTGCCAGGCTCTGGAACGGGATCCCAAGGGAAGTGGTGCTCTCCCCTACCTTGGGGGTCTTCAAGAGGAGGTTGGATACATATCTGGCTGAGGTATTATGGTCCCAGCACTTGTTCGTGGCAGGGGGTGGGGGGTCGGACTTGATGATGTGTTCATGTCCCTTCCGACCCTAGAAACTATGAAAGAACCAGGCATGTCATGCAGCTGCTGATAACACTGCTGCCCCATTCTGCTTCCTGGCTCCTGTTTCAATGGTCATTTGTTAGGGTGATAATTCAATGGTTCTGCTACAGGCTTCTTTATATATGAACCTGAGATGGAAAAAAAGTAAGAATGGTTTCACAGAGCAAGGGACCCTGTAGACTAAGTTCTGTGGCTAGCCAGCCCACAAGGCAGAGAGAAGGGGTTTCTTGAGCCATATGAAGGAAGAAAGAGTAGCAGACTAGGCCAGATTCATCCATCAAATCAATGGAGCTACACCAGGGGCAAGTTTGGACTTTGGTTGAGAGAAAATAAGCACTCTTGTTTCCTACCACCAGCCAGTATAAACTGGAAGCTGCTCATGGAGGAACTGAGATTCTTTCCCTCCTCATCCAACCAGATATGGCAGATTCCTGACCTCCTTCTATGAATCATGCACTATGCTGCTGGAGCAGCTTCCCAGAGTCAAGTGCATATGCTTCACAGCAGTGCTGCAACCACTGCCAGCCCTGAGCCCTTAGCTTTGGGGTGGGCAGTAGATGTGATAACACTGGTCTTCCTGCCACACCAAAACCCCACCTAAGGGCAAGTGCCACACTAAATGCTGCAAATAAAGAGCAGCAGAGGCACCCTGCTCAGAACAGCTCACAATCCTCAGTGGAAATGGCTGCTTTAAAAGAAGCAGGGTGAGGGCCTTTAGTGCCACCCATGCAGGGGGTGCACGTTTGCTATTGGACAGATTTGTCTTGTGTTAATGCACCAGACTGGACCCAGATCAGGGCTGTTAGCTACTTTTCACTAGTGCTCTGTGACTGTGCAGCACCTAGAGGAGCCACTCCTGATGAAACAAAGGGAAAGCAACCTTTGGCTTTAGGCTGCAGAAGACTGCATGGAAGTCAAAAAGGACAAACACAACCAACGGTGACATTGCTTAGAACATAGTATATGCTAGCAGCTCAGCCCTACCCTCATCCTTTGGAGAATTAAGCAAGCAAGGAGTGATCTAAATCAGCCTGTAACCTTGTTCTGCATTTGCACATTTTATTTATTTCCTAAAGGATAGGCTGATTCTCAGTAGTTGGTAATGTTTATCAAAATAAGCTTTACACTAAGTCTGGCACTTATTTTTGCTAATCAGAAGGATGATGTTATATTTAGGCATATTATGAAGCTTAATATGTATCTATTTGGAGTCTTAATGTTTATAGTTTTGTCATGTTAGAAAATAGCAAATGATGGGATTCCGATCTATCCCAACAAAGCTTGGCACAAACCATCACAGCAAAATGCACAAAAGACCCCAGCATTTTTAAATGGATTTTAAATTAAATAAAGGTTCTTTAACATGTGCGGGACAAAGTTAAGAACGTTTTACACTTAAAACTAAATTAGATATAGGAAATATTATCTGTAGTGAGTGAATTGAACCAGATGTCATCTCCTTGCACCTCATTTTTATTCATAGATTATAGGAGGAAAATGAAACTTTTCAAGTTTTTCAGTGCTCAACTGGACTCTTGACTTTGAATGAACCAGTCATTAAACTGAATGAACTGAAACAAAAGAAACATTTGCTATGTGCTTGCAAAAGAAGCTAGCGCTGTCAAAAACTGGTTTAGTTCTTTTTAGATTGATTCCAGGTATCCTTCCAGTAACTTTCATCATCAGTTCAATGGTTTGATTTTATTTAAAATGCCAGCAGCAGACAAACTGGTTAAAATTTTAATTAAATTAAGTTAAATTAATATGAATGAATAAGGCTTAATAGGCAATAAAATACATTTTTAAAGTTTTATTTTTAAAAAGAACTGTACTTAAATAAAACAAATCCACTTTAAATATAAAAATTTGATTTATCTATTCCAAGCTCAGCAGAAACATCTAACCCCCAGTTAAATAAGAGAGGGCATTATAATGGCATGAATCACTAATGTCCCCTTTTCAAGCCTTTTCTAGAGTGACACCAGCTGAAATAGCAGGAAGAGGCAAATGTGGCCATGATGAACCTGGCCACAGCTCCAGTTGATGATTACACCATGGCATACTGTCAAAGGGCACAGGGGAAAAGCACACACATTTGTAGATAAGAGACTTGGCAGAGATACTGCTGTGGCAAGGTGGAAATAGAACCAGAAAGAGCTTGGCAGGGCATCACATCACTTCCTCCCCTTATACACTTCCTAAACATCAGAGGCCCAAATCCTAATACCAGCCCACCCTCTATGTTGTTCCTTTCCCTCAGATGCAAATCAAGGAATAAGAGTTACACTTTCCCATTGTCTCCTAATGATGAGGCAGAGGAAGGGGTCAGCTATTTGCTAGCCCAGACCATGACAGCCACTGACATAACATTTGCCAGGTCATTTCAGTTGTCCCTCTCAATGCCCTAAGTCAAGGTACCTGGGCTAGATGGCTTATTTTAGCAGTTTCTTTTTTCTGACTGACAAATTACTGTACCACGGACTAAAACAAGTCCTCAAAGGGTTGTGCTTACCAGGTGTTCCCCCATCGGCATACTTGGCTTCCCTGGGGCCAGGTAGCTGAAAAAGTGGAAACAGGTAGCTGGTGTGCCAGTCTCGGTCAAGGTTAGGATTCAGGCCTGTCTGTTCATTCCGTGGGGCATTCCTTGGGCTGTATTTGAAGCGCAGCTGGTAATCAACCTACAAGGCAAAAAGTGCAAAAAGGGTGTCCAGGTCCCAACATCACCTGAGGCAATGGTGGAAGCCTGGCACAGAAAGGCTTCCTGGTGCAAGTGCTGGAGCAGCCAACTAGGGGCCACGCTGTTCCTGACCTGCTGCTCACAAACAGGGAAAAATTGGTGGGGAATGTGGTAGTGGATGTCAACTTGGGGAGCCATGACCATGAGATAACTGAGTTCAGGATCCTGAAGAAAGGAAGGATGGAGAGCAGCAGAGTAAGGACCCTGGACTTCAGAAAAGCAGATTTCGACTCGCTCAGGGAACTCATGAGCAGGATCCCCTGGGAAGCCAGTCTGAGGGGCAGAGGGGCGCAGGAGAGCTGGCTATATTTTAAAGAAGCCTCACTGAGAGTGCAAGAACAAAGCATCCTGATGCGCAGGAGGAATAGCAAATATGGCACAAGACCAGCTTGGCTTAGCAGGGAAATCTTCAGTGAACTAAACCACAAAAAGCAAGCTTGAGTGGAAAGTTGGACAAATAACTAGGGAGGAGTATAAGAGCATTGCTCAGGCATGTAGGGATGAAGTCAGGAAGGCAAAAACACAACTGGAGTTGCAGCTGGCAAGGGATAGTAAGGATAACAAGAAGGGTTTCTACAAATATGTAAGTAGCAAAGGATGATCAGGAAAAGTGTGCGTCCCTTACTAAATGGGGGAGGCAACCTTGTGACAGAGGATGCAGAAAAGGCTGAAGTGCTCAATGCCTTTTTCACCTCAGGTTTCACAGGCAAGGTCAGCTCCCAGACTACTGCACCTAGCAGCACAGTTTGTACAGAAGGTGAGCAGCCAACAGTGGCGAAAGAACACTATTAGGGACTATTTAGTCCATGGGACCAGATGGGATGCGCCCAAGGCTACTGAGTGAGTTGTCCGATGTAATTGTAGAACCACTGGCCATCATCTTTGAAAACTCATGACAATTGGGAGAGGACCCGGATGATTGGAAAAGGGCAAACATAGTGCCCATATTTAAGAAAGAGAATAAGGAGGATCCAGAGAACTACAGACCAGTCAGTCGCACCTCAGCCCCTGGAA